GTGGTGCTGGGGGATTGAACCGTGGTCCCTGTGCTTTGCTAAGCTTGTTCTAAGTAGGTGCTTTAGACCACTGAGCCATCTCACCAGCCCCTCCTTGTCCTTTTAAATTATTTTTTGAGACACAGTCTCATTAAATTGCCCAGGCTGGCCTCAAATTTGTGATCCTCCTGCCTCAGCCTCCCAAACAAGTCTGGCTTAGAGGCGTATGACACTGCACTGGCCTGACATTGTTTTTCTGTAAATTGATTCCCAATTTCTTATAAGTTAGCTTTATAAATACCTACAATAGATCAGTGTAATAGAAGTATTTCATATCATACATTAAATATATAGTTACTAAAAAAAAAAAAGGATTAACTTGCAGACCACCTAAAACCTTCCCATGAACTACCAGAGGCACACTGGGAATGACAATGTGGTCTGGGGGTGAAAAACCGAGGCACAAGAATGGTGAAAGTACGTGATTTGCTCCAAGACAAAGGCCAAGGTGACAGACAGGGTCTCCATCCTCCTGCAAGTTTTCAGGGGTCACCCGATAAATCATTCCAGTGCACAGATGGTAAACAGCTGAGACTGCACAAGGCCAACCTGTGAGGCTCCCAAATGAGGAAATGGTCACAGTGCTGGATGGGCCATGCACCTGCAGTGGGTGGGGACGTCGGCTCCCACTGGAGGGAGACACAGATGCCTCCTTCTGTTCTCCAACCACCTGCCTTGCCCTCTGGCCCCAGTGACCGTCTCACCTCACCTTAGCCAAAGCCCAGTCTTACGAGACTTCTTTCCAAGGAGGGAATGGCACTGCTGCAGGCTCCCAGGCTGGCTCCGAGATGCGGGCTCCTGCACAGGCGGCTGAGGTTCCCAGTGCTCCACGCATGAGGGAGGCCTGCAGCGCCAGCCAGCAGAGGGCTCAGGCTGCAGAGGGAGGGGCTGGAGAAAGACTTCAGTCCTGTAACGGCCAGGTGGCTGGGCCTGAGTGCTACAAGAGGGGGTAAAAACAGTGCTTACTCAGGTGGCATTCCAGGCTTCTATTTTGGAGCAAAAAGTTCTTGAAAGCTTTGGCTCCCCTGGCACTGTGAACCTAGCCCCAGAGACTCAAGAGTGTGTGGGCCTCAGAGTCCCAGAAGGGTCACTCAGAGCCCAGGGCACGGAGCCTCCTAAGAAGTCACTGGGGCAGCCACCGTTTGCTCAGTGCCTACTGCGTGGCCGGCGTACGGAGTCCACAACCTGCATCTCACTTCATCCTCCCAGCAAGCTGTGTGTTATGTGCTACCGTAACCCTTATTTTCAGACATAATGGAACCGAGGCTCAGGGACATACAGTCCCAGGCCTGTGACAGCAGTAGGGGGATCTGACTCTAAATCTGTGCTCGTAACCATCACTGGGGGCAGAAATGACAAGGAGACCAGGGGTTTCTTCCACCTTGCCGTGTGTTACAGAGCACCCAGCTCTGGAGCAGAACTGTGTGGCTTGGACTTGCATCTGTACCTGCTGCCTCCATGGAGAAGAGGGTCTGCAGCCTCTCCTGGGCAGGCTTGTTGCCCAGAGCCGCTGACTGCTGATAACACCTTACGGCCTCTCCTAGGTTCCTCTGCACACCAAGGCCTTTCTCATAGCAAATTCCCAAGTGGTATCTGCTCTGTGAGTCCTAAAGAGGGACAGACACAAACAGGAATGAGGAACTGAACTAGCCAGGGGCAAGGTGAGTCAGGCATGCTGGGACTTCATCCAAGCAGGGGGAAGGCTCAGCCTGGGCCCACTGCATTCCAAGGGATCTCAACCATGAGATGCCCAGTTCCTGAGCTCGTCCCACTGAGCCAGAGCCCTGTGGTGGCTCCTCTTGTGGGGCCAGCTAAAGGCTGCAGAAATACTCAGCCCTGTATGTTACTACACTCTCCTGAAAGAGCAGGAAGCCATGCTGGAGAAGGGTCCACCGCTCACAGCCCCTCTGCTTCCTACTGCACAAGAGCTGAGAAGCAGAAGTGACAAGAGTGCGTTTCTTCTCCCTACAGATGGCCCCTGGCCCTGAACTCGGGGGCTGCACTGCTTCAGGGGTAGGGTGGGGATGGGAGCCCAGGCTCACATCAGTCAGCCTGGCTCCACCCTTGGCTCTGGCCAACCTCAGACCTATTACTGCACATCTCAGTGCCTCCACTTCCTCATCTACACAGTGCTGCTAACAGCACTTACTAGGTTTTTGTGTTACAAGACAAAAAGTACTAACAATCAGTGCTAGTGTCATCATTTCCATTAGTGAATCTCTCTCTACTGAAATATTTTCATCATATAAAATCTCTCAACTGAAGAAGGAAACCAGGAGGCTGGGGATGTGGCCCAGAGGTAGAGATCTTGGGCCATGGGTTCAATCCTCAGCAGCACATACACACACAAAAAGAAAACCAAAATCCACACTGTGCACTCCCAATTGTAGTCCTACTTCTCTTCTACCCTCCACAGTCAAAGTTCTGGCGAGATAGCTCAGCAAACTAAGCTCCTGCTGAGGCAAGTGCAGGGATCGGGGTTCGATCCCCTGCACCACATGCCCCACCCCCAGGCGCGCTGAGCCAGCCATGGAGACCCAGTATGGCGGCACACGCTTGTAATTCCAGCGCTGGAGAGGCTGAAGACAGGAGGCTCACTACAAGTCCAATCTGCGTAGTGAGACCCTGTGCCAAATACATTAAAAAAAAAAAAAAAAAAAGTTCAGTTCTGCCACCACTTTTATGCCAAGCAGGTGAAGTCCCTGTAATCAATGCAGTGTACTCAGGGATGCAGCCAGCATAGGACGCAGGGGAGGGCAGGGACCCTGGAATACAGTACTGCTCAGTACAAGCCTGGAGGACACGGTTCCCTGGAGATGGGAGAGTGTGCACCCTGTGTGCCAACACCTAACAGACGACAGGCATCCTTTCCCGCAAATCACTTCTCAGCATGCTGGTCTGACCCAGGCAGGCCAGGGAGCGCCCAGCTGTGCCCAGAGCGTGGACTGCAGGCCCATCCCACCTAAGGAAGGCTCTGGGGGGGCTCTTGACCGAAGAAGAGACTTGGTTATCAGATACTGGTTGACAACACTGGTTCCCTTCTGACAGCTTTCACAGATACTGTGGGCAGCAGAATGGACAAGGCAGTATTGTGATGCCCAAGGGTTCAATAAAGCCAGAAAGAGAGCAGCAGCAGTCTCCATGCAGGAAGTTACAGTGCAGGCACAGTGCTTGCTCTATCCAGAACTTCTGGCCCTTCAAGGTACAAATGAAACCAGATACTGGTCTAATACGCTTGAAGAATTCAGCAAACCGCAAGTGTTGCTCAGTTATATAAAGCTCTAAGATTTGCTGCATTCAAGGCAGCTGTATGCCTCTAATCCTACCACTCAGGAGGCTGAGGCAGGAGGACTGCTGCAAGTTCAAGGCCAGCCTGAACAACAAAACCAAAGCCAAAGAGACAGCTGCTTAACTCAATGCTTCCCAAACCCAATGAACCATGTTTCCCTTAATGCCAGCAGAACAAACCCTGGGCCAGGCAGCCTGCATCTCAGTCAAGCAGACACCCCTTTCCCATTGCTCAGCATGCCCCACCCTGTACATCCGACTTCCCCAGATGGGCACTGCTCACGGCGACACTCACTCACTGCTGGTACAGCTTACAGACTCCTGCTTGCTCCCTCAGTCAGACCTCGTCCTTCCAAAAATCCTGTGTAGGGGGCTGGAGGATTAGCTCAGATGTCTAAAGCACCTTAACAAAATCAGTCAGGGGCAAGGGACTGCGGTTCCATCTCCTGCTCCACATGCCCTACCAGACCCACCCTTAAGGCAGTCTGAGCCAGCCAAAGGGAGGAAAAAAAAAGAATCCTCCAAAAATCCTGTGCAGTAGTAAACAGGTATTATGCTGCTGTTGCTGTTGGGGTGTGTGTGCGCGCGCGCGTGCATGTGACACTGGGGAATGAACAACCAAACCCAGGAGCTACAACGGAGCTATAACTCAACTTTTTATTCTGAGATAGGGTCTTGCTAAATTGCTCAGGCTGATCTTAACTTGGTAATCCTGTCTCAGCCTTGGGGATTACAGGAATGTACCGCCAAGCCTTGCCATTACGTTGATTTTACTGAGTTTGTTTCTTTTGATTTCCTTGTTGTACTAGGCGTGGAATCAGAGCCTCATATATGCTGGGCAAGAGCTGTGCTACTGAGCTAGATCTACAGCACCCATTATGTTGATTTTAAAGATAAGGAAACAGATTTAAAACAAGAAATGCCCATCCAATAGTGTACTGGTAAACATTTAACAACTGACAGAGTAGAAGGAACCCTGCTATGTAGAATTTAACAGTATCTGTAAGCAAATGCTCCGACCCTAGCTGATTGTAGGCCCTGACAGGCCACTGCCCAAGAGCCACACAGAATGTCAGCAGGAGCTGAAATCTGAAGCCAGCCCAGGGCTCCTAGCAAACCACAGCCCAAGCACACAAGTTCATGCCAGCTCCCACTCCCTCCTCAGGCCACCCTGAGTCTGCAGCAAGCCTGGTACCACAGGTCTCATACCCCGCTGCTGGCTGCAAGCCACAAATATTTCACAGCGCTCTGCTCATCCAGGTGTGGCTCCTTGGTGAAGAGCACCCCGAGGAAAGCCTGGGCCTGTGGGCGAAGAGGAAGGAAAAGCCATCGCAATCATGCTCAGCTCCGCGCAGCCCAGAAAACCCAGGGTGGACCCTGCCGGTTGTACGCACCTCTCTCAGGCCTGAGTCTGCAGCCTGCTTTAGCATGGACAGTGCTCTCTGTTGCTCAGGGTCCCCCGAGGAGGCTGGGGCTTGCAGTAGACATCTGGCATAGCGGTACTGAGCGAGGCTGTGGCCCTGGCTAGCAGCCAACCGGTAATAAAAGATGGCCTAGGGCGAAAGAAGAAACACCCAGTCTGCTCCGAGCCCTCTAAGCACTTTTTCTCTGACTGAAAATTTAAAAAATAATACGTAGTCATTATAGATTAGTCAGGAAATACAGATTAAGCCAAAATTTAAGCATACAGATATAAATTCCAAGGAACCCCATCTCCTAAAGATCATTCCACATAAAAATTTTAGTGTACCAGCTTGCAAATTTATTCCCATAGATATGTTACGTATACAGAGACAGAGAGTCGTTCACGATGGATGATTTCTCCTGCCAATAAACACAGATCCACCATGTCACTGAAGGTCTACATAGATATAATCAAGCAGTTCTGTAGCAGAGGAACACTAAATTGCTCCTATTTTGTTCACTTGTTTGGAATTTTTTCTTTTCGAGGCAGGGTTTCACTATGAAGTTCAGGCTGGCCTTGAACTCACTTTGCAGCCCAGGTTGGCCTGAACTTACAGCGATCCTCCTGTCTCAGCCTCCCAAATGCTGAGATTACAGACCCATGCCACCACTTGTGGCTTGTTTTGTTTTGTCTTCACATACAATTTGAAGAAACACATTCTTGTGTATGATGTCATTGTGTACTTATTCTACTTCTAAAGAATTCATTTATCAAGGTGCTGCTCCACGTTGGGGGTACAGCTGCAAATAAAAAGGCAAGGTGGGTGTTCTCCCTGAGTTGAGTCGACATTCCTAGAAGGCAAGAACTTTCTTATTTTGTCCTCATAGCTAGGCTACCAGCAGGTCAGAGAAGCCAGGCGATCCGGCCACTGCTTGCCGCTCAGTTCTGGCGCTCCCTCTTGGTAGCTGGGCAGAAGGGACAGTACCTTGTGGAGGTCCCTGTAGGTGCCTCTGCCATGCTCATGACACAAGCCCATGTTGTACTGTGCTTTGCTGTAGCCACGGTCAGCAGCTTTCTGGAAGTAAGAAAAGCCTGCTGTGTGGTCCCCGTTCCTCATGTTCTCTGTCCCTGTAAGAAAGCACAGGACACCAACAGCTTCCTCCAGGGAGGTGCCACAGCCTCCACTAGGCATGAACGAGCTCCACATCTCTTGACCCTTGGGCTAGACGCTGGCATTTATTCTCATCTGCCAAATAGCTCCCCGGCCTGCCCTGGGTGTCAGCGGCTCTGCCCTCCTGTGAGCCATCCCTCCCTCTCCTAGTTCCGACACTCTCACTGCCCCTCAGGAACCACTGCACTGCACTGCTGGTGCTATCCAGCAGTGTGCCTGTGCTTTTCCCAACCAATAAGACTCTCTCAGGAATCTGACTCTTGATCAGGTTGAACAAGGAGGGAAAAATAGCTCTTCTAGGTCTATTCTGACAGCAGCAGTCTAGCAATACTGTCTATCAGTTGCTGTCCCCTGGGTCCCTGCAACTTCACTGATTCCTGTCCTTTCGGAGGCTTGGAAGGTCAAGGGATCCCAATTGCATTCAAGGCTTTGTTAGCCGGAGTGAATTTCAGGTGGCTTATAACCAACAAACCCTCCCTGACAGGTGATACTGTCACCCTTGTCATCTGAGGACTCCGGGAGCAGTAAAGGAAGGGGCTCTTTATCCTGCCCAAACGTGGAAACAGTAAAGGAAGCTACCATGGCCAATGATCTTTGCTCAACCTGGTTCCTGCCTGCAGCCTCTCCACATCTCTGTCAGGCGTCCTGCTTCTGTTCTGAGGCCTCCAGACCACAGTCAGGCTTTAGTCACTTTTGTGGCATTTTCCTAATATACCAAATCTTTTCCTATGAACTAAACTGTCTCAAGAGTACAAATCCTGTCTCCTCAATTAGACTGTAAAATCCTAGAGGGAGAGCAGAAAAAAAGAATGTAGGAGAAATAACTTTGCATAGGGTGAAAACGCTATACAAATGCAAAATATGATTATAGCTTAGGCTGCCTTTGTGTTCTGCCAGTGCTTAGGCTGGCTGAATAAATGAATATATGAATGAAGGAATGGGCAAGAAATTCTAAGAAGAGGCTGCCCATCAAGAACACAAAAAGCTAATGAAGGAGAAACCAAGTTCCATTCAGCCAGCAGAGAATTAAAGTCACCTCCCTACTGCCTGAAAGCCTGCTGTCCAGGGTTCACAGAGCCTCTGTCCTTGGGAGAAGACTTCAGAGGTCACAGGATCCCACCCTGTCCCTATCCCCCACGCTGGCTCCAGCCAGATTACTCTATTCCTGTCCTCTCCTCCTCTAACCTCCAACAAGCACCAGCACGTTTTGCTTAGCTGTCAGTAACAGCTCCCACCTGGTCTCCTATTCCTCTCTGGAACCCCTGCCATCTACATTTGTCTACACAACATCCAGGGCAATCTTGGGAAAGGTAAATCAGATCATGTGACTGACCTTCTCACTGCTCTGGCTTAAAACCCTCTATCCTGCTTCTGGTCTCTGAGTTCCTGACTTTATCTCCTTTTTTCCCCTCCCCGTATCTGGGAATCAAACTCATGACCTTGCACTTGCTAGGCAGGTGTGTGTGTGGCGCTACCTCCCCCGCCCTTTCCCTGAGGTCTCAGGGCTCCAGCTACTCTTAGCAGTCTTTCTAGCAGTCTTTCGTTTCCTTAGTAAACAAATTCAATCCTGCCTCAGCAACTTTTCACTCCTTGTTGCCCTTGGTTGGAAAACTCTTTCCCAGACAGGAACAAAAGGGGCTTGCTTTTGTCATCAGTTCTTAGCTTAAGAATTTTAGCTAAATTGTAAAGTCTTAGCAAAGACTTCCGATTACAAAGCTATTCATTGCAAAGTTACTAAACACTCCTGTTTTGTGTGTGGTTTTTTGAGACAGGTTCTCACTAGGTATCCCAGGCTGGCCCTGAACTCAAGCTAATCCTCCTGCTCTACCTCCCAAGTGCTGGAATTACAGGTGTGTACCACCATGCCCAGCACTCCCTTGCATTCTTTTTTTAAATGTATTTTAGTACAGGGTCTACTGCAAAGTGAACATCTTGTTTTCAGCCTCCCAAGCAATGGGATTACAGGTGGGTGCCACCACACCCAGTCTCAGACACCACCATCTCAGTGTGCCCTGGGGGTGGGAACCCATACAGCATGTCAGGGATCAAATCCCACCTGCCTAAGCAGGTGCTTTAATCGGCTGAACTATCTGGCCAGATCCCCTTGCACTGTTTTCTTTGTAGTATTTATATCTGAAATTTTGTTTTCTATTTATTTGCCAATTTACTGCTTTTCTCTCCTTTGACTCACATGTGAAAACCCTAAAAATAAAGATGTCTCTTTTTTTTGGACCCAGGGTGTTGTTGGGTAGCACAGGCTGTCCTTGAACTCATTATGTAGCCAAGGCTGTTCTCCTTCACGGCAATCCTCCTGACTTGGCCTCCTGAGTACTGGGATTACAGGCATGTGCCACCACACCTGCTTCAGGACATAGTCTTGGGAATCACTGTATCTCTAGTACCTGAAATAGGGCCTAGCCAAAAAAAAAAAAAAAAAAAATGTTCTGTAAATTTGCTCTTTTCATCAGTCCTAGCTTCTCACCCATCTTCCAATTAGACCCCATGCTGCAATTCAAAGGTTTCAGGATTGAATGTTTACTAAGGGAACAAAAAACCGCTAAGTGTAGCTAGAGCCCTGAGACCTCAGGGACAGGGCGGGGGAGGCAGCGCCACAAGCACCTGCCTAGCAAGGGTGAGGTCATGAGTTCAAGATTCCCAGATATGGGGAGGGGGAAAAAAAGGAAATAAAGTCAGAGAGGAACTTAGAGACCCAAACTCGTATCTGAAGTCACTGCAGAACCAGGATAAACTGGGGAGGGTACGTGCAGACTCCAGATGGGGCTCAAAAGCTTCCTGTTCATGCACTTTAGTACCTGCTCAAAACCTCAGGAGTCTGTCTTTCCTAAGCATGGCAGAGAACAGTAAGCGTGCTGTAGGATTTATTTTCTCCTACCTCTATAGTAAAACAATTTTCAAGCTGGGTGTGGTGGCACACACCTACAACCCCAGCACTTAGGGGGCAGAGGCAGGAGGATCATTGCAAGTTTGAGATCAGTCTGGGCTACAAAGTGAGCTCAAGGCCTGATGGAACTGCATAGCAAGACCCTGTCTCAAAAAGACAAAAATAAATTAAAGAAAAATAATTTTTAGGTAAGTACACGGCTATGCAGTCTACACTTCTCAGCCTCTCCAAGAATGAGGTGGCCATAAGCCCACACTCTGGCTTCTATGACTTGCTGGAAGTCTGAGTTCTGGGTCCTTACAGGGGAGGGGTCCTTAAAGGAGGGGAGGCTTTAGCCAGCTGGCTGGAATATGGCAGTGAGAACAGGAGCTGAAAGAGCAAACCAAACCTCAACATGAAAGCCATGTTTTGTCATTGTGATGTGTGTGTGCGTGTGTGTGTGTGCAGCTCCAGGTATTTAGCCGGGGCCTTTACAAAGAGCTATAGCTTCAGTTCCTTTTAATTTTTTTTTTTTTTTTAAGTTGAGGCTGGGTCTCATTAAGTTGCTAAATTGCCCAAGCTGGGCTCAAACCTGTGATCTCCCTGGCTCAGGCTTGCAGCTTCTGGGCATAGAAGGGCAGTTTTAGAATGGCAGTACTCACATGAGTAAGAGCGGGCCCCAGTCAGTGAATGCCACTAGAGGCTATACTTGTAAGTGAAATAAATCAGACCCTCATGTGTAAATATATTGTCTCCCTAGTGTAAGAACCTGAAAGAATAAATAAAACCTGAAAGGTATAATAAATATAGTAAAACAGAAAGAAACTGAAACTAAGTAATAAACAAGGAAGATGTGGGAAAGCAGAAAAGATAGGAAAAAAAGAGGGAAAAATCATACAAGTATATACACAGCAAGGCTGAGATGACTGTACTAATAATTTCCAACAGCTTTTTGAAAAAAGCAGTTAATGTTTAGATGTTCATTCTGATTAACTCTGTATGCTGATATCTGCAGTCTGAGCAACTACATCAAGGACAGCAATGTGTAATACAAAAACTATGGTTGAATACCTCATCTTGATCTTCTAAATGTGTACCATGTCTACTGTTTCATCAATTATTATACTCCTTTTAAAATAAATATTAAAAAAATAAAAAAGACAACAAAAAATTAATGTTTATTAAAAGCAAGCATTAATATTCAATTATTTGTCCCATCTCGCATAGCTGTATCTGTTAATCTGAGCAACAAATCTGACGTTAAAAATAGGTAATATAACAACCATTGCTAATTTGCTATTCTTTTCAAAATCTGTAACAGAAGTATTGTTGTATGCTACCCTGTTTCTGCTATTTGTTTTTACTCTTCAAAACAAAATTAAATTAAAAAAAAAAAGTGCATCCCAGCTGGGCGTGGTGGCACACACCTATAATCCCAGCAGCTGGGAGGCTGAGGCAGGAGGACGGCCATGAGTCGGAGGCCAGCCTGGGCTACCGGGCAGTGAATTCAAGGCCAGCATGAAGTACAGACCAGAGCCCCGTCTCAAAAGAAAACAAAAAACAACAAAAAACAGTGGGTCCCTGATACCACTGAACTACATGCCAGATATTTGCTCCACCTGCCTGGAAGAAAAAAAAAAACCTTATTTAAATTACTCCCTATGCTGACAGTATTCTACCTAGCCCACCCCTCTCCTGTCGCATCACCCTGCCTGGTCCCCCAATTACCCAGGAAGTTGAAAGCAATGGAAACACTGAGCTGGAAAAGCTGCTGAATGGAAGTCACAGCCTCTTCGAGGGAAAGAGCTTTTGATTTATCTTGTTCCTGGGGAAGAAATACAGACACATGAAGGGATGGTGGCTGGGACTGCTACCCAACCTGGGAATGATACGGAGGTAAAATCCGGCTAATACCTTCTTTTCATCAGGGTGCTGTAGCTTGGCTGGCGTTGGCTCCGACTCAAAGCTACTGCTGGCATCTAGAAAGCTGAACTCACTGAGACCTGCAAAGTACAAGCCTTCACCATCTGGGACAAGGGACAAGTGTATGACTTTGTTTTCCCTCTTCTCCCAGGTTGCCCAGCCTCTCCATCCAGTGACATTTTGGGAATCCAGACTAAGTCTGGATCACCAAAGAAGGATCTCCCCCCCCCTCACCCCACTCAAAATGCCTTCAGGGCATGTTTGGCTGGCTGGAGTTGTGGGTTTTGAACCACAGCAACCTGAGGCTGATTGCTTTGTTGAAGTAGCCACTTATACAACTGAGCTAAGGGGCAGGCCCCAGGATCACCAAAGAAAGCAGGGATCCTCATAATTCCTGGTCTGAGAACGTACAGCAACAATGTCCACCTGCCCAATGCCCCAACTCTATCCTTCACCCCCAACCCTCCTTCTGCAAACTGGGGTGAGGTCATACCTTCTTCAAGGGGCTGCTGAGGACCAGCTATTCTCAAGGAGCTGCGAGAGAAGCTTCCAGGCTGAGCTGAGGGCTTCTCTGGGCCCAGCTTGGGTTCCCTGAGGCCGAGGTGCCTGGGGGTTGGGCCAGCAGGGCCAGGGAGGACGTGCCTTCGCAGGGCTAGAGAGACAGAAGCAGGAGTCGGGTCAGAAGGGAGCCGGTCCAGTCTGAGCCACTGGTCCCCAAGGGTCTAGAGATCAGAGGAAGAACTCCCAAGAAGCTCTGGGAGTCCTCCCTCCTCCTCCTCCTCCTCCTCCTCCTCCTCCTCTTCCTCCTCCACTTCCTCTCTAGGCCCAGATTTATGCTGATCTCCCACCCTAGGCATAAATCACTGTTTTTGCTTGAATTCTTCTGTCATAGGGCAGCATCCACCTTACTCACTGTTGTAGCTTCAGCTGCGAGTGCTTTACTTAATGGCAATACCTTTAAGATTATGATCATACTGATAAGGACAAGACCTAACACTTAGTGCTGGGGATATAGTTCAGTAGCGCAGTGCCTGCCTGGCAAGGGTGAGGACCTGAGTTTGATTTCTGGTACCAAAAAAGAAAATAGAAAAATAACCCCTAAGACAAGTAATCACCAAGCATTTAGTATGCACTGGGCACTGCTCTAAGGCCCTGACATTTAGCCTCCCCAGGAAACCTCTATAGCTTTTTTTTTCCTGTATTTTAGGGAAGGGTCTACGGGATGTTCAGAATCTTACTACTACATTGGACTCCGGTTTACAGCCTCCCAAGAACTGGGATTATAGGTGCATACCACCACACCCAGTCTCAACTGCTGTTGAGTGAGCCCCAGGGGTGGGGCCAGCACAGCAGGCCTGAGGATTGAACCCCTGGCCCTTATGCCTGCTTGCAAGCGCTTTAATCCACTGAGCTATTTGGCTGGCCCTATGGTTTTATTAGCCCATTTTACAGATGAAGAAACTGAGGCAGAGGGAAGTTGTTTAGGAATATAACAGTAGCACATAAGGTGGGATGTACAGCTCAGTGGCACAGCACCTGCTGGCAAGCACAAGTCTCACCTGAGTTAGACTTCTGGTACTAAAAATATCACTAGCATGTAGGCCAGGCATGGTGGTACATGCCTGTCATCCCAGTACTTGGGAGGCTGAGGCAAGAGGGCTGCTGCCAGTTCACGGCCAGCCTAGGCTACACAGTGAGTTCAAGGCTAGCCTGAACTACACAGCAAAACCCTGTCTCAAAAAGAAAAGAAAAATACTAGCATGTATTTCTGGGGCTTTAACCTTTACAATTCAATCTGACTCCAGAGCTAGTCCATATGGCTTCCGTTGCATGGCACATAACACATAAAACACACACTCATTTATTGATGAATGTTTGAATGACCAGAAAATGGCCTAACTGGTTAAGAGCTGAGCAGGAAGCTATACCTATGATCTAAAGTGGCCTGGACTTGATGTAGTCAGCACAATAGGGACAAAGGACAAACTCTTGGGCCCTTATTCCTGATTAAAAGCACAACTGATGTCTTCTTCTGAGGCAGTCAAGGAATTACAAGCAGTTTTTGCTAAAAGCCAGGCCTTTTCACGTGGGTAGCTAAGTGCAAAATCAAGATTAACGTTCAGTTTTGCATCCCTTACTACCTTAAGCTTTGTGGGTTTGGTTTTTTATTTTTTATTTTTTTTTCCCATTTATGTATTTGGTACAGGATCTCACTATGCAGCCCAGACTCATAGTGATCCTCCTGTTTTCAGCCCCCCCAGTGCTGGGATTACAGGTGCACACCACCATGCCCAGATTCAATCACTGGCTCAGTGCACCCCAGGGGTGGGGCCAGCACAGCACGTGGGACCGGGGATTGAACACTGGTCCTTGCACTTGCCAAAGCAGACACTTTAGTCTGCTGAGCTATCTTGCCGGCACTTACTACCTTTGAATACATATCACTCACTTTTAAAGTCAACCTAACAAATTTTATTAGCCCTAAACTTCCCTAACCTAGGTCACATCCCTTCAGGATGGAAGACACCCAGAGAACAGCAATAAGTAATTTGCAGGACTCACAGGGACATCTGACAGCAGCCTTTCTGATTCCCACTGTCCAACCCTTCCCCTGTGGACCAACTCCTGAAAGGCTCCAGTCACTGTCCTCAACTGACAGTCACCTGGGTCTCAGGAAAAGTACTCCGACAGAAGCAATGATTTCAGAACAGCCCTCAAGCCATGAGGGTTTCTCCAAAGTTATGAAACCGGCCTGCGATAATGATCAACAGGACCCTAGAGTGGCACCCACAGGACCTCAGCTAATCTCAGAAGGCCTACTCCTTTTCATGAGAGCTCGTCCCTGCCAGCCAGTACTAGAGCTGGAGTCCCTTCCCTATTTTCTCTCTTTTCAAGTAAAGTTTCTACCTGTGAAGTCACACCATTGCTCAATTTTAATTTCCATTATTACTAACACAAAGACCCATGCTAGCTGGTGACCGACCTGTGGAGCTCCCTCCACAGGCGGTGACAGGACACAGGAACACGATGGGGTTCACACCCTGGGTGGGTAGAGCCTCACCACATTTCCCTTCCTCTGACTTCAGAGAGGAAAGGCAAGGACCTGCAGATGGCTCTTTTCCTGAGGTGTGTCTGAGATACTTCCTGACCCTGGGTGATACCCAGCCAGCCCTCTGCCCCAGGATCAAGAACTCACAGGAGTGCAGGTGCCACCAGGGAGACGAGAGGAAACGATCCAGGGGACTGCGCCAAGAGCAGCGTTCTGCCTGCCGAGGCCCTGTGGACAGGAACGCCTGGAAGTGGACCTGTCGTGCCACCTGCAGGGCCAGCACGGCCAGAGTGCCCTGGAAAAAGAGCAGCACATCAGGGACCAGGTCCCCTCCCCCACTCTCCAAGTGCTTCAGACTCAGCCTTTCCTGATCTGGGTGGGGCAGCTCCCCACACAGCTCACAGCACCCAAATCTCTCCTCCGCTACTTCGTACTCCTCACTGTGATTGTTCATTGTAGGTCTGTCGCTCCTGCCTCTAGGAGACACACATTTTGCTGACCAACATATTCAGGGGCCTAGCATGGTACAAAGTTAGAGAAGGAGCCCAGTAAACAGAAGCTGCACAAACCCAGCACAGGCGACAGAATACACAAAATGGAGGTGGCAAAGAGATGATGCAGTAAGATGCAGTCCAGCACAAATGCAGCACAAGTCCTTATCAGGTACATTCTGCAACCTGGTGCAAGCCTCCCTTTCCTGCAACCGAGCCGCCCACCACACGTGTGGGCTTGCTGCAGGGGTCTTTCTTCTGACCGGAATGCAGAAAACCTGAGCCAACTGCTATTCCAGTGACTCCCAGATTTCCCGTCTCCCATGCTGTGCTCGAGAAGGCACAGCTACATGCTTATTTCCTCCACCAGGCACTGTTTACAATGGCAAATAAGACAGTTACGCTCTCTGTATGCATGAAATTTGTGTCTTGTGTTGAGAAAGACAAAACCCAAGTACGGAGAAAAGTAAATAAATGCTGTAATAATTACGCTTGATATAAAGAAGAAACAAATCAGCAGGTTACACGGAGTGTGAGTGGGAGACTGGACACGACGAGTGATGAGGGAAAGCCCCTTGGTATGAGCCAAGGCCAGAACAAGAGAAGGCACCAGCACTGTGAAAGGACAAGTGTCCCTGGCTCTGGGGACAGCCTGTGTACAGTCCTTTGCATATAGGCAGTGGGGACAGCTACAGAGCCCAAAGTAGCACCAGGACCTCTGGAACACAGGTCCAGTTCCCCAAAGAAACCAGTGTAGGACTCTGCCCCAGGGCTCAGATCTTTGGCAAAATGGAAAATGTTTCCCTCAACAGAGTTTTTTTAGGGGCTGAGATGCTCAGAAGAGTAAGTGTTTCCCTGGCAAGCGCAAGGGTCTGAGTTCAATCCCTGGTTCTGCCAAAAAAAAATAGATTTTTTTTTTCCTTTCTTTTTTAACTTTCTGCAAAGCTTTATTCCAGAGGGGCTCAGTTCCTCTTGGCAGCTGCCTGCCTCATGGCAGCCATCATGCTGCTCAGCTCCTTGAGCTTCCTCTTGGCCGGATATGCGTCCCCATCTTTTTCTTTCTTTCTTTTTTTTTTTTGGGGAACTGGGGATTGAACTCAGGCCCTTGCGCTTGCCAGGGAAGTGCTTATTCTACTGAGCCATTTCCCCAGCCCTTCCCATCTTTTTCTTGATTAACTTGAGGGGATGTTTCTCCTTGGAGACCTTGAACAGCTCCATGGTGCACATCTCCCGGATCATGTCCCATATGAACTTGGTGTTAGGTGAGGCATCCGCGACAGTGGCTGTGCCTCAGTTTGCTCACACTCTTAGTCACCTTGCAGCTCTTGCTGAGGCCCACGGCCATGGGATAGTGGAGGGCCATGGCTACTATTCTTTGATGGTTGCTGTGGCAGAAACTCAACAGGGTTCTTTATATGCTGGTTTTATAAAGAAACCCAGAAAACAGTGTCCCTGTCATGGAGAACCTCCAACTCAACTCTGCTGATGACACCAACTTGCAGATTAAAGAAAGTGAGGCTCAGTTGGGTGTGGTGGCACATGCCTGCAATCCCAGCACTCAGGAGGCTGAGACAGGAGGATAGCCAGGAGTTTGAGGCCAGCCTGGATTGCATAGTGAGTTCAAGACCAGCCTGAACTACAAAGCAAGACTTCAAAACACAAAAGTGAGGCTTAGCAAGGGATCCACATAATTCTAGCACTCTAGCAGATTTAGGCAAGAGGATCAAAAGTGGAGCCCAGTCTGGGCACCCTAGCAACTCAGTGAGACCTTGTCTCACAATTAAAAAAAAAAAAAAATTAAAAGGACTGGGGATGCAGCTCAATGTGAAGACCAGGGGTTCAAATTCCTATTACCCTCCTTCCCAAAGTAAGGCTCAGAGAGTTGAAGTCATCTGCCTAAAGTACACAGCATGAAAGTAGCAGGGATGGGACGTGACGGACATGACAACAATGCATGTGTCAACTTCATTCACAATATAGTCAGTCTAGACCTTTGCCCTAAAGGTATAAACTCTGTCCTATGAGACCTAGTGTTCACTACTAGGAGGGTAACTTTGTATGTCAGATTCAACAAATATTTACTGAGTAACTAACAGTTAATATGGACCAACTAATTAGCATGGGCTAGGCTACGTACTCTAAGTGCTTGCAAGAGTCACACAAGGCAGTGTGGCCACGGGATACAGCCTGCACTCCAGAGTTAAATCTGGCTTCTCACTGAATAGATATAACCTTTAGACATGTTACCTAATATTTCCTAGCCTGAGTTGCTCATGTTCAAAATGAAGGTTACACAGACTGGGCATGGTGGCACATGCCTGTAATCCCAATGCTTGGGAGGCTGAAAATAGGAGGATCACCATGAGTCCGATCTGTGTAGTGAGACTCTGTAGGCCCTGTGTACTAAATACATTAAAAAAAAAACCAGTTGTAAGACATTATTAGGACAATGCATGTGTAACAATTTATATTAATAATTAATGCTACTTATTAGCTATTTCTTATTATTTACTGTAAGCTCCATGAAGGTAAGGCTTATAACTACTTTGTTCTCTGCCACTCCCCTCAGGGTCTAGCAAAAACACCTGACTTGGAAAAGGTGTGAATAAATGTTTATTGAATGAAACAAAGAATAAATATACAGCTGGGGTGAGGAGTGACAGTATCTCCATAAATATGCTCCGGTGCCAGGGGTTCCTCATTGTGTGAAGACAAAGCTAATGTTGCTCTGGTTTTTAGACTAGGGTATTTCTCTACACAGGACCATTCTCACCCATGCTGAAGGCAAAGGTCAGGGCTGGGGAAGCCTTACCCATGAGACAGCATCCCACAAGGTGTGCGGGGAGATGCGAGCAGACATCCACTGGAAAGCATCCTTCCCTCCGTGGGACTTTGGATCCCTGCTTGTACTTGGCCCATGAGAGCCTGACCTAGATAATGCAATTAGAGGCTGGCTAGTTTCGTCCAAAATGTGGGCAAAGAAAGTTCAGGAGAGAAGATGGGTGATGAAATGGCAATGTCTTACCTGTGAACTTTGGGAACACAGACCAGCAAGGAGGAGAAGGTCACCTGAGACCCATCTGGGCTGGCGGGCTTGGGAGTCACCCCCTGGAAATGAGGACCCAGCAGACGGGGAAGGGCTGTATAGAAAACAAAGATCACTTTAACAGGATCAGGACAAATGTGGCTCAACAATCTTACTTCTAACCTGAGATGGTACTTTACCCTAGCAACACAGAAATCACTGGCATCTGTCTCTGCAATGTTTTTGTGTTTGGGGTGCTGGAAAATGGAACCCTTTGTGCATGTGCCAAATGCTCTACCACTCAGCAACTTCTGCAATCTCTGCAGTAGATTTTCTTTTTTTTGAGTGAGGGGCTTGAGACTGGGTCTTGCAATCTAGGTCAGGCTGGTTTTGAACTTATTATGCAGCCCAGGCTGGCCTCAAACTCATGACAATCCTCCTGCCTCAGCATCCCTAGTGGTAGGATTACAGGTGCAGTGGTTTTGAAAGAGAATACACATGGCGATCTTTAGCCTAATAGATCCTAAGGGACTATTGCAGAACCGATGCAGCAGTATCTGAGTGAAGCGCTTACATTTTGAAGAATCTCCCCTATGTGGTTCGGATGTCCTACAATCGGTGGCAACCTTTGCTCTATGACCACACATACACACACTATGGCCCCAAATTCAGAGCAACAGTCTCTAAATTCCTCTCTATTCGCTGGCTTCGCCCACTCCACTGGCTCCCTCCGCGGATCCTCCCCCTCCCTGGAGATGCGCCCACTTCTCTAGAGCTGAGCTTCTCCCCACGCGTGTTCAGTTCCAGCGGCCCCTGACTTCGGGCATGGTAGCCCCGCCCAGGTCCCGCCCACCCTGCTCTAGCCCCGTCCCTGTCACTCCCGCCGTTCTACGCGCCCTGCCACCGCCCCACCCCCCACTGCCCGGCTCAGGTGCTCGAGGGCCTTCCGACGCTCTCGTTCTAGGTGCCCCCTACCTCGGCCCAGGAGTCCCGACAGGCGCCACATGCTGCCAGCACCATGAAGAGCCCGGGCGAGGAAGACAAGCCGGAGCGCGGGCCAGCGGCCTGAGCTTCCACAGCCCGGTGCTGCGCGGCCGCCCCACGCAAGCCCTCGGCCGGCCAATGGGGACGAAGCCTACCGGAAGGACGCGCGCCCCGACAGGAAGTGGGCATGGGAGCGCCGCGGGGCTCCCTGGGAGGCAAACCCGCAAGGGCAGGGCTCCTGGGCTGGGTGACTGGCCCAGGCCGCTCCGCCAGGGGCGCGAGTGCCCTGGAAGGGCGCCCGCGGGTGGCGAAGCTGGACTGCGCAGTGCCGGCCTCAGGCAGCAGGCTCGGACGATGTGCGGACGCGGGGAGCTGCCGGGGGCCGGGACTCTGCGAGCGGAGGAAGCCGGTAGCGGAGCTTCCCGCATCGTGGACGACGAGAACTGCGCAGGGCAGGGGCTGCGCTCCTGGGTTCTAGCTCGGGCTCCCCTGTGACCTCAGGCCGACCGGGTCTCTCGCGGGCTGTGTGTGTCTGCGGTGTTGGGGGCAAGTGGGAAAACCTACAGGTCGAGACTCCTAAGGTGCTCCTTTGGAAATAACAGAGAGCTCACACACATCCTGTTAATCAGAGCGCCCACTTTCAGACCCAGCCAGTGTTACATGTGTGTTCTTTTGCGGAAAGAACAGTTCCACCTTCACCCCGTTTGAATATATGAAATAAAGCATTCTACTTCGAATGTAGGATGTTCAGATTTCTTCCCCTTCCTCTTCCTCCAGATAGGTGACTTTTAGGTGGCTGAAAGTATCCAAAACGGGGTAAAGGAGTAATAGTGTCACCTACTTTAGGGCCAGCGATGTGCTGTGAAGGTTGTATGAATTTGTTAAACAAGCTTTGAGCCCTGCCAGTCACCATCCTAGAATTTGAAGAGAGCCGAGTAAAGAGCATTTGTGGCTTTCAGGAATACATGGTCCAGTGGATTATGAGTGCACTCTGGAGTCTCACAAATCTGAGTTTGAATCCCAGCTCTCTAATTTTATAGGTATGTTATCTTGTGCAGGTTCCCTGAGCACACTAAGCTTCTTCATCTATAAAATAGGGAAAATTGCAGAGGTTTCACGCAGTGGTGAGGCTTAAATAAAATAATGGATTAAAAATGTTTATCTTAGTTTTGATACAGTACACGCCCAATAAACGTAATTGCTGTCAATCACAGTAGTTGGGGGAGTGGGCAAAGGTAAGAGATAAGGTTCTTAGAGCAGCAGGAGCAATGGGTTGTGGAAAGACTCAAGGATTACATTTGAGCTGGGTTTTTAGGAGTAAGTTTTCTGAGTGGGGGAGGGAGAAAGGTATTGCAAGGAACAGAAACAAAATTAAGCCCAGAAGTTGGAATATTGGCAGACTAGTAAAAAATACTCTTTTTGGGTATTTGGAACAGCTCTCTTCACATTCCTTATGGAACTGCCTCCAAATAAAATGACAAAGAGGCTGGGTTTGGCTCTGTGCCTGATGGGACTTCTAAGCCCTTCTCCATTTTGGCCTGTCTGTGCTTTACTTAGTACTTCAGGGTTGAACCCAGCCCCAGCTCTGCAGTGAAGACACCTCGACTGTTGGAACCCTTCCTGCCCTCTTGCTTTTTCTAATTCCTGTAGCACTTAATTTCTTACCATACAGTTTAGCAGTAATTATATGTTGCCCTATTCTTTAATTGTCTCATTTGCATAAGTTTAGTCTCCCTAGTTTTTTCTCTTAGGACAGGGATACCACTTATCCAACCTGTGCCCCTCATGGGGCCTGACTTATCTGTAGGGCTGTGGAATAATGTTCGGATAACACAAGTTGACTTGACCTAACACCTGTGCTGATGATGCCTGCAGCCAAGAGCATCATAGGATTCACCAACCAAGTAAAACTGTATTGTTTCTGCAACCATGCAATCATTGAGGACCCTCTGTGTTTGAAGTTAAAAGGTTTTGAAGAGCTGTAGCCCATGCCTATAATTCTAGAACTTTGGGAGACCAAGGCAGGAGGAGCGAAACTTCCAGTCCCACTTGGGCAAATTAGCAGGACTCTGTCTCAACATAAAAAATAAAAAGGGCTGAATTAGTTCAATCCCTAGTATCCCTTAAGAAAAAAATTTTTTTTGAAACAGAGGGTAAAGCACTGTCCTTGTGCATAGCTGGCTTAACAGACCAGCTGAGTGAGGGGGAAAAGGCAAGGGCCACTGGAACCCTCACTGTTATGTCAGGTCATCTGTTCTGTGTTGCCCTCCATGCTATAAGGAATAACAGCTTTGTTTCCCTGACACTTGGCTAAAGTGCCAACCCCAAGCACCAGACATTCTTTTCTCTTGCTCTGTGTTGGTAGATTATGGCCTAAAACCAAGTTGATTCAATCCCTACAGATGTAAGCTATCTTACACCAGGAGCCTATTGACCAGGTGTCCAGTTAACCACCTTTGAAAAGTGTACACATGCTTGTGTATCTGTCACTGAGAGTATTCTAGACATTAGCTGTTCCCTTAGTTTTTTATTTTATTTTATTTTGAGACAGGGTCTCACTATGCAATTCAGGCTGGCCGTGAACACACTACAGAGCCCAGGCTGGCCTTGAACTCACGGGAATGCTTCTGCCTCAGCCTCCTGTGTACTGAGATTACAGGCATGTGCCATCATGCCTGCTTCATAGGCATTCTTAATTTGCATTAATCAAAGCTTTACTTCAGGGCTGGTGAGATGGCTCAGTGGTCTAAAGCACCTACTTAGGGGCTGGTGAGATGGCTCAGTGGTCTAAAGCACCTACTTAGGACAAGCTTAGCGAAGCACAGGGACCGCAGTTCAATCCCCCAGCACCACATGCCAGCCAGCCCCGCCCCCTGGTGGGCTGAGCTGGCCACACAGATACACACACAAATAAATAAATAAATAAAAATTAAAAAAAAAAAAAACAGCACCTACTTAGAACAAGCTTAGCAAAGCACAGGGACTGAGGTTCAATCCCCCAGCACCATATGCCAGCCAGCCCCGCCCCCTGGTGGGCTGAGCTGGCCACACACACACACACACATAAATAAATAAAATTAAAAATTAAAAAAAAAGCTTTACTTCAGTGTTTGAGGATGTTCTGAGTATATCACAATTTTAAAAAAATGGATGTGGTCCCTGAACTCACAGATTATAGACACACACCTATAATCCCAGCACTGGGGAGGCTGAGGCAGGAGAACTACCATGAATTCAAGGCCAGTCCAAACTACATAGTGAGACCCTGCCTCAGAAAATCAAAGGGATGAGGTTGGGGATGTAGCTCAGTGGTAGAGCACTTGCCTTGTGTGTGCAAGACCCTGGGTTTGATCCCCAGTACAGAGAGAGAGAGAGAGAGAGAGAGAGAGAGAGAGAGAGAGAGAAAGGAAAAGGACAGTATAGGAGGGAAAACAGTCTACAGGCAATTAAAATCCAGAATGGTGTTTTAGTTATATACTTGATCTTAGCCAAAAGGCCGAGAAGCGATGGTGTTTTAGTTATAGATCGCAGCATAACAACCACTTCAACACTGAGTAGCTTAAAACAATCATCTTATCTTTCACAGATCTGTGAATTAACTGGGCTCAGCTGGGCAAATCTGCTGGCCTCACTTAGGGCCTCTTATGAGGTGGCAGTCAGGCCCCAGCCAGAGCAGGAATTGTGGGAACAAGTAGAGCCCTGTAGACGCGGGGTCTTCTTTCTTCTCCCTGTAATCTCAGGGCCTCTCCTCCCATGGCTCCTCCAGCTGGGTAGCTGAACTTTATGCATGATAGCTCAGAGCTTCCAAAGCACAAAAGCAGAAGCTGCCCAGGATTCTTAGGGCTTAAGCCTGGCACCCACAGGGCACCATCAATCTTATACCCTTTCGTTAAAGCAGTTCACAAAGGCCAGCCCTAAATCAGTGTGGGGGGTGAATTCTGGGAAAGTGGTTCTCCAGAGATCAGCAAGCATGGAAGGCTTTTTGAAAGCAGCAGTGTCTAAAACTGAGCAACCTGAATGATGAGGATTAGGAACTAGAGGATGAAGAGGAAAAGCACCTTCAGTCAGGGGACACAGTTGCTACAGAGTCCCACAGACGTGCAGAAAGCACACTTTAGCAAAGAGAGCGCAAATCAAGATCATGGGGGCTGGAGTAAGTATAGATGGGACAGAAACCGGCCTTTGATTTGGAGATATGTAGGTGGGGCGGGGCACACCTAGGAAAGGTTTAGGAGGAGAGTGACCGAGCAGGTCAGAGAATCCAAGAAAGGCTGCTGAGTGGGAGATGGGGGAGAGAGGGCTAAATCCACATTTTCACCCTGTCCCTTTTGGGCCAGTGATCTCACCTTTGTCACTGAGAAACCTGGGTCATCCCTGGAGCACTGATAGTAGTTCTTTGTGTTTTTTATTATGAGTGTTTTTATTATAAAAGAATACAAAGAGATGGAGGAAGGTTGAAAGTAAGGGAAAGGAAAGGTTGTAAAGAGAATTAAGTTGCATTATGGGCATGTCCTAACTCCCCAAAATGAATGTGATCATTATGTGGCGGAAACATGTACTAGTAAAAATGAAAAATTGAAAGAAACCCCCAGAAACCCCTTCATATAAATGTTTTGTTTTGTTTCTTTCATTTTTAGAAGAACATGTGGAAAACCTGCTACCTGATAAGGATCTGGACATGAGCTTGGTCATGTGACCAAACAATTTATACTTAAGCATGAAGTGTGATTTTTTTTGTTTTTTAAAAAGACCCTGCTGGCAGGGAGCAGAGAGCATGCCACACTCAATGGATTTAGCCCCTCAGATAAAAAGATATATGACAGTGTTGGATTGTTTAGCTGAATTCAAATACCTATAGTATTTAGATGCCAATAGAATATTCACCTCTGACGGGACTAAACAAAAAAAAAAAAGGATGTAAAGGAAAGATCATTTTGTATTTATACATACAAAATAGTTAGGATAGATATACAGCTACTTTCGCTTAATTCAATGAGAAGAAAGATGTGTACTAGTAGTGTTTGGACAGGATATCCCGTCTGCTTCTTGTACTATGGATAACCACTAAGAAGATAACAATGTACAACGTATTGATTATTGAAACTGTCCTATTAATCAGCTTTGAAACTGTCAAATTCATATTTATTTCTCAATAAAATTTAAAAAATAAAAAATAAGGGGCTGGGGGCTGGTGAGATGGTTCAGTGGTCTAAAGCACCTACTTAGAACAAGCTAATCTAAGCAAAGCACAGGGACCGCGGTTCGATTCCCCAGCACCACATGCCAGCCAGCCCCGCTCCCTGGTGGGCTGAGCTGACCACACACACACACTAAATGAATAAATAAATAAAAGAAAAAAAAAAGAATTGCTTTAAAAAAAAAAATAAGGGGCTGGTGAGATGGCTCAGTGGTCTAAAGTACCTACTTAGAACAAGCTTAGCAAAGCACAGGGACCGCGGTTCAATCCCCCAGCACCACATGCCAGCCAACCCCACCCCCTGGTGGGCTGAGCTGGCCACACACACACACACACAAATAAATAAAATTTTTAAAAAAGATACATGAAATTATCTTTTCGTTAGCAGTGAAAAGATAATGTAAAGGAGAGCAGAGAAGGTCACTGAGAGAGTACAAAGTCAAGTAATCCTAAAGGTTTGTTTCAGAAAGCAGCACACTTTGGCTGCAGGCTCTCTACCTTGTAGTCCTATGTCCTAGAGGT